GAAATTCCTTTTGCCCCTCTTCCGGACCTAGGTGGTGTAATGGCAAGTGGCACCCTACCACGTGCGCGATCTGCGAGTCAAATCCTGGCTCCCACCAGGCCCTTCTGGGCGCAGTTCGACGACGGGGGGGGCATTTTGCACTTTCGCTGCTTCACTAGTTCCGGTTTACAAGTCTCACTCTGGTGAAACCTGTGAACTCTTGTGAAGCTGGAGCAAGCTCTCGAGCCACCACGGTAAAACTTGTCAACTCACGAAAAGGCTCTCTAGATGGGTCCCACGTCCATGGGAAGTAGCAAATGAGCGAAGTGCCCCCCCCCCCTCGTCGCCGAACTGTCCCGGCCTTTTGGTATCAGATTCGTTTGGGAGGTGTTGCTTATTGTTGTTGTTGTGCCTCTCGAGGTTCCGAACGGCGGGACAGATTACTTAAGAAAGAATTGGCTGAGCAGAACACTTAAGAGAGGCGGTGCGGCTACCGATTTGAGTGAAACTATTGGGCGATGATTTAAAACGCTTTCCCAAAAGCTGTGCCTTCAGAGGATGTCACTGCTCTTCGTCCTGATGACAAAAGGATGCGGCTGTCCCCCTAGGTTGTAGGGCCGACTTCGTCCACAGTTATGGAAGATTATTTTATTACAAGCACGTAAAATGGTCAACATAAAATCAACAAGTCGCTCACTCATCAACGAGCTCTTCGAAAATTCTACAACAATCCTCTACAGATCACAGCTAATCGCTATCATCTGCGTTAGTGAAATCAAATGGTTTGAACCGAGCTTGCAGTTCTTTCGCGAGTTTTGCCTCTTCTTCTTTGCTAAGCACACACGTTCTCCAATCTGTCTTCGCCTCACAGTCGAGAATAGGCCGACTTGCTAGCACCTGGAACGAAGAATTCCCAACACTGATCAACTCCTTCGGTAGATGCTGCGAACACTTCCCAATTATGAGCTTTACACGAGCTCTTAACCTCCAATATCGGGCGCTGTTCAGCTTGGGAGGGCATTTCGCACATTCTCTAATTCCTTTTCTGTTAGTCACCAAAATGAGACTGGTTAGTTCGTGATAACTAAGAGGTCTTATTTTGGTGAAACCTGTGAGTCCTTGTGAAACTGCCTAATGGCGCAAGTGAGCAGCTCTGCTGACAAGAGTTTTCACAAGGTGATCGTACAGGCTTTTCTGAGTAGATCTGTCGCCCTCACCAAGCCAGAGTGCGCCCCAATTTTGCTTTGAACGAGTAAGGTAATTGATGTAACACACGGTGAGAGAAAAAGGGAGGAAATCTTCCGATTTACCATTGATAACGTGGCAATCCGGCGGGGTGGCATCAGGGGCGAGCCCACACTCAGCGTTTCTTACCACAAATCGTTGTTTACTTGAATCAGCCACTACTGAAAGAAAACGCAGCCGTGGATGAGCTCATCTACCCCTCTTGACACCGTCCCACTGGACTGTCACTATAACAGCTATATTTTCAACGTGCTCTGGTAGCTGATCGCCCTTTATATACCATTTTCACTTTAAATCGGACACTTTTCAAACCAAATCGGACACTTTTCAAACCAAATCGGACACTTTTCAAACCAAATCGGACACTTTTCAAACCAAATCGGACACTTTTCAAATCAAATCGGACACTTTTCAAATCAAATCGGACACACCCCTTACAATGGGCAGTTGAGAACTAGACCACACTAGGTACTGCTGCAAGCCCCGCCCCAACACCCCGCCCACTTCTCAGCGCGATCACGGTTTTCCAAATGTTTTATGAATTCTGCTTCTTCGAATTTTTT